CAGCAGCTGCAGGAGCGGTGAGTGCTGGGAAAGGCGGGACACGACAGCCCCACACACACTGGAGCAGGGGACACCCAGCCGCCAGCTCCAGGGTCTGCCCTGCCTGGGAGGCTCCATGTGGGACCTGACCTGCACCCGGGCCCTGGACGGCTTCTCCCCGTAGAAGAAATGGCAGCAGGGCAGGAGAAAGAGCCTCATCCCAAGCCCACGTCAGCAGAGAGCCGGGATGAGGCAAATGAGTGGCTTTGGAGGCTCCATGGCCAGCGGCGAGGGGGATCGTGCTGGAAACCACAGCTGGAGCCAGGGGGTGGGAAGGAGCCGAGGGGCCCAACCCTGCCTGCACGGGCAGGCCCAGGGATCAGCACATGCCAGGGCCCCACCGGCCCTGCCCAGCCAGCCGCAAATTAATGGTTATGAGCAAACGCCCGCCTCGGCACACACACAAAGTGGCTTTGTGAAAAGGGTGCTGGCAAGGCACCCGTGGGCTACTTTCCTGATGATGCCTGAGTACTGTGGTGTTCAGAGCCCCAGCATGGCTGGCGGCTCCTCCGGGAGGGCAGTAATTAGCCCTGCATCCATCCGGCTCCCCGGAGCAGCTGAGCACAGAGCACTTGGGAGGCTGGAGCCCAGCCACAGGGAAACTGCTCTGGGGACAGGAGCCAGAACATCAAGCACCTCCTGCAGCCCCAAGCTTCACTGTCACCTTTGGAAGGAGCCACAGAGAGCGTGGCTGCCTCCCAGACAGAGGAAAGCAGGAAGGACAGCTGGGTGACGGGAACATGGCAGGGATGCAACGCTCCTTGGGGCCATTGAAGCCTTTCCCAAAGGCCACCGGGGGTAAGAAGAAGGGGACCTCATGGCTGTGAGTTTCCTAGCTCAAGCCTGCCCTGCCTCTGCCTGCAAGGGGATTTGCATTCTGCCTGTCTAATTAATCAGGCTGAAATCTGGAGGGGCCGGGAGAGGGGAGCATTCCCCAGCCTGGGGCCAGCAGACCACAGCCTGGAGCTCAGCACAGCCCCGAGCGCTCAAATAACCCCCTGCTTCCAGACACCCAGCTAAGGGCCACCCTGCAGCAGCACCCACGCCGTTCCCCGCAGCTCCCTCCCCGGGCTCCTCCAAGCCCTTGGTCACCTTCATGCTGCACCACAGGCTCATCCCAACTGGCCTCCCTGGGACTGGGATACCAGCAGGCAGCTGGGGAGTGAACCGCAGTGATGCCTACGGGAGGGAGATGGGGGGCAGATGCTCCCCAGCAGCCCCCAGCACAGCCAGCACAGCAACGGTCCCGGTGAGGGGGCTGCAGGGACCTGCTCACGTCCCCCAGCCTCCTTCTTCCAGGACCCCCAGGGACGTCACACGCTGCTGCCGAGGTCTCACTTGCTGGGAGAAAGGAGGAGGAGAAGCAGCCCAGAGCCGAAGGCTGGGGAGAGCAGAGGAGCAGGGAGGAAGCAGTGGGAGAGGCAGTTTTCCCTTATATGGGCTAATCCTCTTCCAGCTGAGCAGAGCCAAAACCTAACCAGAAAGAAAAATAATTCCTTCCCTGCCTCACGTCAGCTCGGAGCAGGCTTTCCCCAGCCCACGCCGCACAGGCACAGGGAGACCAGAGCCGCAAGCAGGATGCTCTGGGGATGCAAAGCCCCAGCGGGTCGAAGTCCAAGCCCTGGGGAGAAGCAGCGCTTGCTGTGTAGGTAAGATCCACCTCCTCAGGCTGGCTGGACACCCAGCCACAACACAGACACAACACCCACCCCATCACTGCTCCTGCAGCTCCATCTCAGCCCAGAGACCTCAGACGGGACATGGCAGAGCCAGAGCACTGGCAGGACAGGGAGAATCCCAGACCACCCATCCCCATACCTCCAGGGCCCCCCGTTGTCACCCCATGGAGAGCAGTGGGCTCCTCAGCCCACAAACAACGCGCGTTGTCACCCAGGGCAGGCTGAGGACGGCACGCCAGGAGGCTCTGGCAGGGCAGCACAGCCCCCACGCCAACCCTCTGCCCGCCCATGGCACGGCGCAGCTCCCACTTCCCGCCTGTGCCACGGCACCCTGACTCTTTCCTGTTCCCGCAGACGTGCCTTCCCGACTGACTCAGCTTCCTGCTGTAACCATTCCCAAGCGCCGGCCCGGGCCACCCCGTGCTCAGCCCCCGGGGCACCCAGCAAACCCCCAGCCCCGAGCCTGTGGTACACCCGGGCTGGAGGGACGGTGGCAGGGCTGCCTCACGCCCGGC